GTGCATTTTGAATTATGCTTGGTAGTCTATTTATGCCATGTACTAGGGCCCTTAAATTTGATCCTAAATTTTCCTTGATGAACTGTATAGTTCTAGGTTTAGTTAATATTTTCTTAATTTTGATTATACATTTTTAAAATCCACTTATCACAGACATAATTCATGTTTGACTCTCATTTAGTCAGTAATTCTTAAGATTTTTTATTTTAATATCTGCCCTTATAATGCCTTGTTCAGAACAAATTTAAATGTGCCAGTAATCTGGTCAATGCTATGATAACAGGTGAGCTTATAAATTTCCACTGTTTCACTAATTTACTTGAAAAATAGCTTATTCAGAGGTGGTTTCTTTATTTGTAAAGTATATCTCTATGAGAATTTTCAGAAAAACATTAATATTGGTTACTTTATAAGTGTTAGTCTGAGGAATAAAACAGTTAGTAGAAATTTTTCTTAATGCATCCATTGATTCCTTTGTCTCCCTTTTTTTATGCACACAAACGAGTTGACATTTAGGAATTAAGTTGAAAAGATAGCATTTATCACTGGGAATGTTGAAAGCTATATTAAGACACTTTAAGATGAAAACTTGCTTACCAAGGACTTCATATATTTGAGAAACTGTTGCCTAACTGCATAGCAGAGAGACAAAGAGTTTTCTGTGTCAACTCAGTGTGGTAGCTCAGGCACTCTCTAAGCCTGTCACTCCTTAATAAAACATTGTCTTTTGTTTTGTTTTAAATGGGTGCTTTTCATCTTAGTGAGTAGCCCTCATGGCACAGTGTTTAAGCACTCAGTTGCTAACCAAAAAGCCAGCAGTTCAAACCCACCACCCTCCCTTCAGGAGAAAGATCCAGCAGTCTGCTTCCATAAAGATTTACAGCCTTGGAAACCCTGTGGGGCAGCTCTATTCTTGTCCTTATTGAATCACTAGGAGTCAAATTTGACTAGACAGCAGTGGGTCTTCATCACAGTAACTGATAGGCATTCTCAATAAATCTCAAGCATGAAGGAATAAGAGAAGAAATGTATTTGTTTTAGTTATTTTAGAAAACCTAAGGAGCTCTGATAGCATAGTGGCTAAAAGCACTTGACTGCTAACCAGAAGGCTGGCGGTTCAAACCCACCAGCCACTCCTCGGAAGGAAGGTTGGGCAATCCTACTTCCGTAGTGATACTGCCTCAGAAACCCAAGGAGGGGTCGCTATGAGTCAGGGCCAACTCGACGGCACATAACAACAACAACAACAACATATGCTTAATAAATGGATAATTTATGAATAACAGAAATATGTTAGTGAAACTCTCTGAATAAGCTGGTTTGTTGATCAGAACTGTGTAAACTTTTTGGTAGAATTTTAGCCCACCCCTAAATTAAAAGCATTGTTATTGTGCAGAATGAAATTGAAATCTCGGATTATTCCTTTGTATCATAAAGCCCCTGTAGAATTGTTCCTTCTGACTAAACAGAACAACTGTATGTCCCATTTCATAAGTTGTAGAAATGGAAAAAGATCTCACTATTGAGAGGTGATAAGAGTTTTTGTTTATCCTTGTCAACAGTTTACAACTCTAGACAAGTCACTTTACTTTGCAATGCCTCAGTTTTATCCACTGTAATTTAAATATGCAGGAGGGAAAAAAAAAGTTGCCACAGAGTTAACCCCTACTCGTGTGACCCCACGTGTGTCAGTAGAGCCGTGCTCTATAGGGTTTTCGGCTGATTTTTCGGAAGTGGATCTCTAGGCCTTTCTTCCTAAGCACCTTTGGGTGAACTCAAATCTCCAACTTCTCAGTTAGAAGCTGAAAGAGTCAACTGTGTTTGCATCACCCAGGGATTCTCTTACTTGAAGGATTACTAAATATCATGTTACTTGTGTGTGTGTGAGAAAGAGAGATCAGTAGGGAAGAAATAAGGAATTCCTTGTGTTCAGTTTACTTTATATTAAAATGGTAAGTATGACATTTCATAATTTTCCCACTATTAACATTATATAATATATACTTTTTTTTTTTCATTTCAATGAGTGCTTAAAGACTAAAATGGATATCTGATTTCATAATTTTTGTTTTACAGTTTTGAAGTGATTAAAGTTATCCATGGAAAATTGTTGGATATGGTGGGGAAAGTTCAGTAAGTAGTAATCTTTCTTTATCTGTTTTGGTTAGATAAGCTCATTATTGTACGATCTTCTGAATAATAAAATCTGGTGCTAACTAGTTTACTGTGCCTTTTTTTTCCCTTATATTAACAGAATTCCTATTATGTTGGTGGGAAATAAGAAAGACCTACATATGGAAAGGTACATAGTTTTAAAAATAATTACTGATTTATAAAATTAAGTCTAAAATAGTTACTGAAGTACCATTTTTAATTACTCTTATGGCAGGAATATTTTTAGCTCTAGCATAATCTTTCTATTTTCAGAAATATGGCTTTGGTTATGTATAGCAGAAGCACAACTACAGTATAAATCTCATAAACATTGAAGGTGTTTCCTCTAGAAAAGAAGCAAAGTTTATTTAAAAAAATAATCTTTTATTTTACCATTTTCCATAAAGCAAAATCTGAACAAAGACAGCATTAATTTGTTTGACCAGTTTTGTTTTGTTTTTTAAGTAGCAGGGTCTGGGGTTACTGGCAACAAGGCAGCCAAGGGCCTCATTTACATGGAGCTTAATATCTAGAGAGGCATACACAATTGCTGGCTTAATTCCCTGCTGTCTGTGCACAACAGAAAGCTGTGAGCCCCTTTGGAATTTCCCCTGGCCTTAGGAGTTTAAAGCCCAGCTATAAAATAGTGGATTGTTACAAATATTGGAGTACTGGAGAATAAAATTACGTTCTCTGAATTATAAATGCTTGCTGGAGCTTGGTTAATTCTTTAATAAGTCAGTGTCTGTTCTGTTCCCCAATTCTAACATAATTAAAATGCTTTTTTCTGGGCCATTATTATAAAAAGTCAAGCAAAGGTTTACACAGGAAAGGAAATTTTCTTTGTTGATTACTGGAGAGGGGAGGGAAAATTTTTGACTAGTTAAGAAATGTGGTGATTTCAGAGAAAGGATAGGCAGTGTAACAAAAGTGTATGACTGACACAATATCACTAAGGAAAAGGAAGGCACAGTGAGGTGGCACAGGAAGTAAGAGGTACGGACAACAACAACAACAAAAATTCAGACTTACTGTTGTCAAGTTGAATCTGACTCATAGCGATCCCTCCTTGGGTTTCTGAGGCAGTATCTCTACAGAAGTAGATTGCCCAGCCTTCCTTCTAAGGAGTGGTTGGTGGTTTGAACCGCCAGCCTTCTGGTTAGCAGTCAGATGCCTTAGGCACTATGCCACCAGAGCACACAATACTGTACTGTCAATAATAATAAACACTAATTGATGGGTGGATACATAGACAGACAGGCAAGAAGATAGGGTATGGGTAGGTGAACAAGAATATACCCGTGACCATACGTAGGTTTGGGAGACAGTAGTCCCATGTAAGTATTCATATGTGTTGAAAAACATGTCCTTACACATTATAGAGCTAACAGGACATAACCAAGGGAGTGAGTTGTTGTGCCTACAGGCTTGGGACCATAGTCACATGAACATCAAGTTTGCTTGGCACAACATGTTGTTGTTGTTGTTAAGTGCCGTCGAGTCGTTTCCGACTAATAGCAACCCCATGCACAGCAGCACGAAACACTGCCCGATCCCACGCCAGCCCCACAATCCCTGCTATACTTGAGCCCATCATTGCAGCCACCGTGTCAATCCACCTTGTTGAAGGCCTCCCCCTCTTTCGTTGACCCTCCACCCTACCAAGCATGACATCCTTCTCCAGGGAATGGTCCCTTCTGACAACATGACCAAAATAGGTGAG